TTCAGGGGATCTCGTAGTCGAGCAGTCTTGACTAGAGCTTTCTTACTTGTTTCTTCTTAATGTCATTATTATTAGTAATTTATAAAGTATACTCCAGTTGTATAATATTCCCTCGAAATAAGGGATATGGCAAAGCAACGGTTGCCGGGTCAGCTAGTTATACTTATTTGAAAATATTAAGATTGGTCTCAAGATTTATTCAATAGGCCAAGCGAGAATCTGTGTACTATAAAAAGGTAGAGAGAAAATACCTCGTCCTTTACTTTTATTCAATAGATCAGTTAGAGATGGAATTCTCGGGATTGATTTTATGACCTATCTTAAACAAAAAATTTCTTAAACACTTTGTCGTATCTGAGGCTTGTGATAAGATATTCTTGATTCAGCTCTAAAATATTTGATTCAGCGACATAGTGATATTCGAAACGATCATCCGACGCAGAACTAGAAATGGAAAATGTTGTGGCCCCTACTTTAGCTTATGGAAGTAGGAAAGTAATGTGGGCATTATGCTTGAACAATCCAAGGAATAGCCATCAATTAAATGCCTTCTGTTTATAGTTTGTTAGACAACAAGAAAGCTCTCAATAACAGTTATTACCACAATAATTAGCCAAAGATGCGTGCCTTAATGAGGAGGCGTGCATGTAAAATTAGTGAAAACTTTTACCAATGTCTAAACGAAACTTTGCTGAGCAATTAAATGTGAGCGTATAAAAGGGTCTAGCTGACATTTGAGTCTCTGTCATAGTTAGTTATATATTGATAATATATACATATATTTGAGAACAATGCTTAACAGCCATGAGTCAGCCATTGGACAAAGCTTCTATAAGATACCACGTTTATCTGGGCGAATAGTGGGCATCTGGCCAGAGTATGATCGCAGCTGGGCTACAAATCTAATCTGCGCCTTCAGCTTCTTTGTCATTTTGGTCGGTGCTTGTGGCGAGAATCTCTATGGCATTGCTAACTTGGATAATTTGATAAGAGCGTTGGAAGCGTTCTGCCCCGGCAGCACTAAGGCCGTTTGTGTGCTCAAATTGTCCATATTTGTTATAAATCATCGCGAGTGGTTCAAACTTGTCGAGCGATTGCGCGTTATATTGTACAGCAGCAGAAGCTATGAGGCTCAGAAGACGTTAGTCGGTAAATCCACAATAGCGAATCGCCTAAGTCTGCTGTTGGTTTCCTCCGGCTCGATAACCAACATGGCCTTCAATATTCAGCCCTTGATAATGCGCCTTTATCGCTGGGCTTACGAAATACCGGGACAACTGGATCTACCCTTCAATATAATGTAAGTGATTGATTAGTTTATAAAATAAATAACAAAAACCCCAAAAATTTTACTATTTCACTGCTCTAAACTGTATTCTATGCACCTATTGCTCACGTAATACATATAAACTTTGTATCTGTATTATTGTATTATTTAGCAATATTTATCAGAGTATTGTAAATCTAACGGAGAAATATGAAGTGCAACATTCTGAACTTCCACAATGATTGCTGTGTGGCCAATATTATAAGAATTTATTTATTGAATAACTTCTTTTGTAGACAAACAATCTTAATGAAAATTCCAGAGCATAATCATATGGTCAAAATGTGTGCACAACTCTCTAGTAATAATAGTATTCCAATGAGGCTCAAAAAACATAATCAATTTTTTGATTATTCTCGATAAAAAAGTTATCGTATGAGTTATCGAAAAAATGCAAACCCGTACTGCGTATGGTATACAGGAGTATGAATTTCAGCTCTCTAGCTCTTATATCTTCTGAGATCTCGGCGTTCATACGGAC